GCAAGAGAAACAAAATGCTGTCAAAACAATAGTTTTTTGAGCACTCACACACATTTTATTGAAGGTTTGGTCAATTTGACATACCTTGTCTTCGACACCACACTCGATCAGCTCCAAATTAATGATTAAATCGAAATCGAGGCTTTATACCTATGCGCAAGCCCGAGTTATAACTTAAATCAACCGGCGAACTTATGTTACAATTCTGGTTTCTTGTACCCGGCCGTTGTGTGATCATTTTTACTTCACATGCGCAATCGTTCTTGCGAAGCGCAAAACAGCAAATGGCATTTTTCGGCAAAAATTATGCAAAATCAGCTCGTAAATGACAAAATTACGCACAGATGCAAATTACAGAAGTCCCCATACTAAAAAAATAAAAAGTATTTTCGCATAACTTCGAATACGCTGACGGATGGGGCTGAAACTTTCTGTGTTCATGGGAAATTGGCTTCGCTACCTTTGTGCAAAATTTCAAGTCGATCGGACCCGATATGGAGAAATACGGCCGGTGTCTTTTTTTTTGGGACACCCTGTACAAGGTGTCCCAACCACCCCCCTGCCTAGCGGTCCGCAGTCGTGTCCGATTTTTACGATTTAACTATCAATCGAAAGCTCTTGAAAAGGCGAGAAAACAAGCGAATTTTGTTTTCTCAGATTTAACCTAATTCCATCGATATTTAAGGTTTTTCTAGAAAACTGGTACTTTTTCAATAGGAATTTGGCAATTAGCATGCGGTTCTTGCATAAATCAGCAGTTTTCATGGTTTTTGGACCTAAAATTAGCGAATAAAAATACATAATAAAGAAAAGGAACCCTCATTGTTGTCTCGCCTTTTCGAGAGCTTTCGATAGATACCTAAATCTTAAAAATCAGACACAACTGCGGGCCGCTAGGTAGGGGGGGTTGGGACACCCTGTATTCCTCGATTATTGCACAAAATCCGTGTCACCCCTTTTCTCTGCCTATTATTTTCTTAATATGACTTTAAATAGCTATTATAACCCGTCACTTTCTAGAAAATGGGCTCGTCAATGACAAAGGAACCCCATTTCTACGATTATTCATCACCGCGAAACCGCCGGAAAAGGAACAGTGGTAGGCCTTAAAAAGGTTTTTTTGTGTGCATTACCCCTAGGATACCTACCGCATATTGTCATACCATCTTTTAGACCCGAGCTCCAATCACTACTCGAAGGAATACGCCCAATACTGGCAGGCCGAGCAGAAGGCGAAGGCCGAGAAGAATGGGCGCAACTGGACGGTGGACAAGAGTCAGTATCCTTTGTGTAAGTAGGGCGCCCCCTAGATAGGCAGCGGAAATTATTAGTTTTAGCTTCACTAACCCAGTACGCCACGCTACGTTGCGCGACAACAGTACATCAGCGGACTTCTAACAGATTCATAGGAATTAACAAGCTTTTAAGGCATTGGCGCAGTTTACCAGGGCCTAACCGATCCCATCTATTGTATCACGGCTCCCTTTTTTAAAAAGTTTTAAATATATCAAAATACTCGCCAGACCAAGGCGAATATTTTGGTATACTTTACACACCTTGAGGCCAACGGGAGGCCGAGATACAAAGATTGCGGCCCGGCTGGGGTGAGGGGCAAACTGCCTTCTTACCCATTTATATAGTAGTTTCTAATTTTTTTGTATGTTCTTTTATACCCTCAATTTACTCTGCTGTCCATTACACTACAAACTACAAGCTCCCGGAAAAAAACCATCAATTTCCAGATGACCAATCCAATCGGTACCACCTCGCCCAACGCAACTCCAACTCGTCCCAGTACGGCGCCTCGTTTTCGCCGAAAGAGAAATACGCGAACAACTTCTCGGTGACGCCGAGCACTTGTGGCCAAAAGAAGTGACATATCGATTGAATGGAGAGATGGTTGTGCCCTTGAAAGTATTCGCACGCTATTTGAAACTTTAGCTCACCCCGCGCCTCCGTTCCTCTTGTTATTTGGCTTTCTGTTGGGCTACATGGTTGTAAAGTATGCCAAAATGTTCGTTTTCTTCTGGGGAGTATTTTGCTATACTTTACCACCCGGTATACAAACGTAGAGCCGAGATACAAAAGTTGGGGACCGACTCGGGGAAGTAAACTGTACTCTTAATCTATAAAACACCAAAAATATCCATTTTAAAATGTCTGTTTCCTACTTATACCCTATTAAATATCTATCCATTAATGCCTATTGCATTTGTATTTTCAAGCCACCAAAAAGCCCGGAAACTACCCTTTCGCTCCCCCTCTTTTTCCATTGCTCGTTCACTTTGGCCAACCCGAGACACCCCCTGGTTGCCTGCGCCTCACTCCCCTCCCCCCACTCTCCCACACCGCATATCCCCTCTCGCCCACCTCTCATAGGGCCACCGCCCGCTCCCTACCCCAGCGCCTCGATAGCTCAGTTGGGAGAGCGTTAGACTGAAGATCTAAAGGTCACCGGTTCGATCCCGGTTCGGGGCATTTTTGCCGTTTTCCTTTTGCTTTTTCCTCCTGTCCGACAAATCCGGCATTCTGTGATCTCCCCGCCCTCATTTTTGGGCCTCTTCGACTGTTTAGATGCCCTGTCTTTCCTCAAGCCCCCCATGCAGAAGCTTTTGCCGCGCCCCCATCGATTCGACTCATTTCCCGCTTAATTTCTGTCATTTATTCGTGTATGCGATAAATTGATTTGTGTATTTCCGGTGGGAGCTGCAACTACCAGGGATCGATTCTGGCCTCCGGGCTCTCGTCGAGGCCGTGGAATTTGGATTTTCGTGTCGTCGCTTCGGCGGATTCATCTATTTTGACGGTTTCCTCGATCGTACATTGATCGCAGGATACCTGGAATATATTTTTGATGCTTTACTTCCGTGGAGTGGGCCAGAACACGTGAATTAAAAGTCTATTTCAACATGAAAAAAATCGTACAACTTCCTTGTTTCGACGTCGTCGATGTTGATTTGAGCGTTCCTCATTGTAAGGCTTAAACTCCAGGTTAATCTTTCCCAAGTCAAACACCTAAAGACGAAATTACGTGATTAGGAATTGAGTACCTTTTGCGCCTTAGACCCGGCAGTTACATAATGCTCGGGGACGCGAAAGTGGAAACGACGAAGGCCCAGCTGAAAAGTGTTGAAAGTATTGTGGAAACTGGGTTTTGTGACCTTCTTGCCGTCGTTGCAGTCATGGTAGACGACAATATCTGGGTGGAAAACGTGATCAAGGGTTGCGGTCAGCTCGAAAGTGCCTTCTTTCGTCGCGAACGTCTCGGCAAGGGTTGGCTGATTTTTGCCTTAAATTTGGATAGTTTGAAAGTCTAGCGTTGTGAGACCGGACATCTATTTTTGATTTATTAATCGATTATTTATTTGATTTTAATAAATTGATTTAAAACATACCTTTGCCGCTCTGAAACAACCGAACCATGACACCAAAAGCCGGCACTTCTCCGCATTGTAGCAGCCCCTTGACGGCAACAGTATGACTGGACACCCCCAGCAAGTTAGCACGCACAATACATAGGAAATAACAGCAAAAGATGAATTCCAAGCCCCAGCGCCCCATTGAAATTGCGCCGAAAATAAGGGTTGCCCGGATCGGAAGCGGTCAATAGTTTTATCAGTCTTGTCTGCGTTCCGGCTGATGCTGCTGGGGTGGCCAGCGAAAATAAACGATACGCCTCGGGTATCCCTATCGTGTTTGACGGTTTAAGGTATGGACAAGGAACTCGGCAAGTTTGCAATGGGGCTAGCAAACGAGCAAAATCGAGGGAGCCAATGTCGCTTGGCGCGTAGCGTAGCCATACCCTGTTTTGTCCGATGCACGGCCAATCAAACAGGCCAAAAACGGAAATTTGCCGTGAGTGGCAAAAGCGTCGATAGGAACCGGGCGTAGCGGGCGCCAAAATGTTTAAGCTCTTATAACTTTTTCAACCCGGCTTAATATTGAAAATCCAATATCAATCAATTATAGAGTAGAATTTTACGGTTCGAATGACACCAAATACAGCAAGTTAGCCCTCCGAAATACTACTTTTCACAAATTCGCCAACCAAAACCGCCTTCGTTTTGATAATTTCTGGACTCAGTTTTCTTAGTGCTTGGTATCATTCGAATCACCATGCTCCATTCTACAAAGTTGGAACACGCTTTTTTCATTTTTGCTTTAGTTTTAAAGTTATAAGGCCTAGAAGTTTTGACCTCATACATTTATGAGTCGATAGGAGCGCCGCGTTGCTTACTGCCGCTAATTTTGGGTGTGCGATGGTACCTAATTTTGATACCTTCCGAAAATGGAATTTGAGTAGCTTCAAAGTAGTAAATTCAGGTACTTCACGCTGCGTTAACCTATTAATTATATGACGTAAGGGAAGCAATTTGAAGACTTCTAAGGTGGAGTCCATGCGTAGAATTGCGTAGAAATCAAGGCCGCACCTACGAATTTCGATGACGTATTTTTTCAAGATATGGCCATCCTTAAAAGGCCACTTCCTAGATGCCAACCGAAGAAATTGATCTGAGTGAAAGCGGCTTATCAGCGAGTGAAAAAGATTGGGTCAGTGCAACCGGAATATCTAGCGGGCCACCACATAGGCCACCCACCGCCCATCGCGAGTGCAACTATTCTTATTTAGTTTGGCAGGACCTATGACTTCATTTAAGGCCGGGAGGCAGACCGTGGCAGCTTCTGTTCTGTTTGACGGCTGTCTTTAATTTTTACACATAAAATAAATACGCTTAAACCCTGCTATATTTTACTCATAGTATAATTTTATTTTCTATTCCTAAATTAACTATTAGTGATAATCCTTTTTAGAAATTTTAACACTCAAAAATGCTGGATAAAACGACAATATCCATCTCGGAATCTTCGGGAAACGGCCCTTCCGAAGGCCAGCTTCTCTTCGGTGTCAACGATGTCCCAAAGCCATTCTACGCCTTATTTCTTGCTTTTCAGGCAAGTTTGCCCAACCTTGCCAGAAATTGCGTGATTTTTAGCAGGCGATGGTCGCCCTTTCGGCATATCTAATTTTTCCATTTCTGGTTGCTGATGCAGTCTGTGCTGGGAATGCGACGGCAAGACTACGGTAGGAGCGCAGGCCTAAATAAAATCGCCACCTTGTTTCCAGTGTCGACCTGATCTCAGCCACTTTCATTTCGGGCGGCGTAGCCACCTTTATACAAAGCACCTTCGGTTTGCGGTAGATTACCCGGAAATTAGGGGCAACAATGAACTTTTCAGACTAGCCATCCTGCACGGCGCTTCACTCGCTTTCCTTGCTCCAATACAGACATATCAGTAAGTTTGAGATGGCCGGATTTGATTTTTCGACGTTGTAGAGTCTCACTTGGCGAGTGTACAGCTGGGGATGATACCTATGTACCGGAGGAGGAATGGCATGTTAAATTAGCGACGGTAGGAACATTTATCGAAACCTAAATCAGAGGCGCTTTCCGTTTCCCTGGTAGACTACAACGTGTGTGTGCGTGCGTAATTCCCAAATTTTTCGCAATTTCAGTTGAGGTACAACTAGCGCGCGCCGAAGTACGTTATCAGAAAATGAGTGTAGCCCGGTGTTGGGGAATGGTCTTTGGCTGACAAAAGACTCGAATGGAATTGATGATTAAATTGCAGCTTTCCGGGAGTCTAATGACCGCCTGCTGTGTGTTCGTCCTTATCGGAGCCACAGGAGCTGTCGGATGGTTTGCCCGGCATGTCGGACCGATTACGATAGGTTTGTAGAAGCGAGGGTGATGGAATCAAAGTCTATGTATAACAATTGATTACAGTACCCCTCCTCACCCTGATTGCCATCTCTACAGTACCGACAATCGAGCAAAAACTCAGTTCACATTATATGGCCATAGTGTAGGGGCAGGAAAATGAATATATCGAATTTTTAGAGAGCTGGTCTTGTTGATCATCTTTGTCGTGTTCCTCGAGGACTTCCAGGTCCCGATCCCGTATTTTTCCTGGGAGAAGCGAAAGAAAGCGATAGCCAGAGCACCTGTATTCGGACAATTTCCGGTAGGGCTTTCCTGGGTCAATATGTATATGTTTCCCGGATCAGAGCCAGGTCGTAGCTATGAATTTTCTGTCCCTTACAGTACTTGATATCTCTTGGAATCGCCTGGCTGATTTGCTATATCCTCTCTTCAGCCGCTGTCATCAGTGATGACTCACCGGCTTCGACGAAAAGGTAAAAACAATTGTTTTGGAAATGTTATTTATACAGGGTGTCACAAAAAAAGACCCCCCTCTAGCGGTCCGCAGTGATGTCCGATTTTAACGATTTAGGTATCTATCGAAAGCTCTCGACGAGCTGAGTTTCGTTCTTTCCGATTTGTAAAATTCCCGAATTTTTTGACCCGATTTGTACCGTTTCGGGCTTAAATTACGCAATTTTGTGCAAAAACTTAATTTAAGCAGCTTCAGTCTCATCTAAATTGTGTTTTCTCAAATGCCTCTAAAAAGCCAACCTTGGGCTGCCAGAAAAATGTAAAAATTTGAAAATGGGTACATTATTGCATGAGAAAATACATCGAACATTCAGCCAATTTCGCAAAAATGTTAGTAAATGTCATAAAAATTCGGGAGTTTAAAAATCGGAAGGAAAATGGTGGTCGAGAGCTTTCGATAGATACCTAAATCGTGAAAATCGGACATGACTGCGGACCCCTAGAGGGGGTCTTTTTTGGGACACCCTGTATTCTCGATTATATTTTGCAGAAACGAAACCCACGGACTGATTGCCAACGCGCCATGGGTCAAGGTGCCGTACCCAGGTATCAGGTTGGGCAGAGTAGCGGAACGGAAAGCATGGCTGACCTTCGAATCCAATTTTTTAAGGAGAGTACGGTGGATTCCGCGTGAACACAGCAGTGTGCCTGGGATTTGTGGCCGCGGTCTTGTCATCAGTTATCGAGAATGTTGGAGCGTATAAAATGGGTGCTCGGGTATCTCATCAAGGGAATCCACCAGTTGACAATGTCAATCGAGCAGTCATGGTTGAGGGTAATCTTGAAGTAGAAACCCATTTGGGCCATTTTAGGGCTGGGCAGTATGTTGGCTGCCTCACTAGGCGTCTCCACTGGAGTCACTACATACTCTGAAAATATAGCTCTCCTCCATATTACAAAGGTATTCAAGATATTCACGAGATATTCGAATCTCTAGGTGGCATCTCGCGTCACAGTCCAATTGGCTGGTGTGTTGTCAGTGGCGCTGGGGCTTTTCACGAAGGTAATTGAGAGCTTATTTTCGGAAACAATTATAGACTTCTCGTACTTTTTTTAGTCGGCGGCGATACTTGCCTGCATTCCGGATCCGTTGATCGGTTCCATTTTATGTCTAGGGATGAGTATGATAGCTGGCGTAGCCCTGTCAAATTTAAAGGTAAGTTCTTTAAATGAGTTTGCGCCGTTTAATCATTGATTAATGTGCCAAACCGTGTGTTCTTGCTACGTGCAGAATTCCAGGTAGTCAACCTCTCGCAAACTCGTAATTTGGCCATTATGGGGTTGGCCTTGTTGCTCGGGCTGGTCATCCCCTCTCACTTCACCAAAAGCCCAATCAAGACTGGTTTGTTGCATATGGCCATTTCTCAGATTTTTAATCGTAATGGCCAAATTTCTGAGGGTTCGTTGTGTTTTCTAGGCAACGATACCTGGGATGAGGTGCTGAACATGTTGCTGACAATCCAGATGCTGATCGGTGGACTATTCGCCTTCTTGATGGACATCATGGTGCCAGGTTGGTATGATATCTCTTGCTCTTATTCTCTCTCTCTCTCTCTCTCTCTCTCTCTCTCTCTCTCTCTCTCTCTCTCTCTCTCTCTCTCCTCTCTCTCTCTCTCTCTCTCTCTCTTCTCTCTGTCTCTCCCTGTGCCTCATGACGCTTTCACTGAAAAATTTATGCCCGAACCCAGCCAAGCCGTTTAAAGGTGCTAGCCGGAAAGATCGTGGGCTAGCTGATGATGACGATCAGGAAGGAGCGGAATTCCCCCTTGATGGATTTGCACTACCCGATTGGGTGGATAGGTAATTCTTCCACGAAATAGCAACCTTCTCTTCAGGGGCCTAGACAAACTTCCTATTCTCCGACGACTACCCTTCTTGCCTTCAAAAAGTCATCGAGAACCGGCCAAAGAAGCTGCATATTCTTTTGATATGGATACGGTGCTGAAATGTTAATAAAATGTACATACCTATTTTTAATAACCTTTATTGCACGCAGAAAACATAGCTAAAAACTAGAGACCAATATACAGGGTGTCCCAAAAAACCCCTCCTCGGCATTTGGCCGTCTTCTATCCGACCGGGACCAAATTTTTACCAGAGATGGGGACCCATAAAAACTATGTGCAAGCCGAATTTTCTAAGGAAAATTTTGTAAAATCAAAAAGTTATAGGGAGAATAAGGTTTGTTTTGCTTTCACTGGGATTTTGATGGATTTGGACCTCGAAATGTTTAGCAAAAACGAACTACTTTACTTACTTAACTTTTTACTACCCGGAAAAATTTTTTCATTTACGAAAATCTACTATATATAAATTTCTAATGTCCGTACGCCCGCCGACCGACCGACCGACCGGGAATTCAGCCAAATTTTACATTCAAATTCCAAATTCAATTTTTTTTGGGGGAAGAAGGCCAGCGCTGAACCCCCGCGTAGCGGGGGGTCAGCGCTGGTTACTTCTAAATTTTTAATTATTTTTCAATATCAAAGCTGACAGAAACCGAGCCCAAAATGACCATTTTTGGGAAAATTACTCAAGATCGGCATGTTAGTTGCGAAAACATAGCCAAAGATCAGTGTACGGGCGTTGTCCAAAAATCAGTTTTTTAGCGATAACTTTTTTATTTGACAATATTTTCTTTAGAAAATTCGGCTGCAAATAGGTTTTATAATTCCCCATCGCTGATAAAAATTTGGTCCCGATCGGATGGAAGACCGCCAAGCCGAGGGGGGAGGGTGAGGGGTTTTGGGACTCCCTGTATTGTTAAGATAGACTCAGTTTCGTCGGGATTCTGTTGGTTGGAATGTCGGGGAATCAGGGAACATGACATTTCCCAGACGGCCATTAACCGCGAAGCACCAAATAGCCCTTGACAGCGCGACAAGCAAAATATTCCCCCCAAAAAACCACTTCCTACTTGCGGGCGGAAACTGCCGGCGGTGGCCATGTAATCGGCTTATCAGCCACTCAAAAATGGGCGCAGAGATCGGGTCTGTAGTGCAACGAATATCTTTCAGGCCGTTCCACCCACCAGCCCTAGGCCAGCTCGGCTTTTCGGCTTTTCGGGAGCTATGACTCAATTTTAGAGTCGGACATTACTGATAGCGATTATGCTATACAAAGAGGACAATGTTTTGATCGGCCCGGCGCCCCCCCCCCCCCCCCCCCCCTCTCTCTCGCCTCTCTCTCTCTCCTCTCTATCGCTCCTATTTACGGAATTTGGCAATGGGACCATGAGTAGACGGGTCGCGGCTGAGTCAGGGTTTGGCGTTCTACGAATGCTAATCTCGGGGGTTTGGAGGTATTTATAGGTGTACGAGATGCGCCTTCGTCAATTTAATGCTTACACACGAGCTTTTTAGCGAAGCTTCCCATATTGTTAATTTTTCACGCGCTTTAATATGCCATCCATCTCACCGGATGTTGACAAACATCTTGACATTCCGCAGTGTATTGTAGTGACCTGTAAAATGAAATGGAGCGCTTATAGCTTAAAGAGGGAACGGAGTGCTAAATCAAAGCTCTTGGGAAGGGCATTTGATGTCAGGCAAATGACGAGACGAGAGCCCTCACTCTCACGATTTTTTTTGCGCGCAACTGTTTTGCCTGATTTTTTTGTGAATACACTATGATTCGCAGATCCTGAGCGGATTTATAAACTCGTCACTCCATTTTAATTTTGGTGTTTTAATCATTGAATTTGTCGCAGAAAGAGCCGAGAACGTGCTTTGGAGGTGACGACGGGGAAATTTAAAATTTTAGGGACTTCCCGCGCTCTGGGTACAGAGGCCGTTGACGTACAGCGCTCCGCTTTGTTCGCTTTCCGCTTTCACTCGATTTTTCCCACTTCTTTGCCCCTTTAATAATACTCCAATATGGTCTCTTGACCTCTAGTCTATTCTGAACATTGATCGATACCATTAAACTGGTCGCACCATTTTGATGTGCCGTTGATTCTGTTTGACGATCTAACTTTCGTTCCCGTTTTCGCCACCCGATTTCCATCCCCGATCATTTTCACGTGGGTTGTCGAACCGGGGCAACCGATAATCCTTCTCGTCCTCCTCCTCCTCTCCCCTCAACCCATATAATCGCACCCTGGGAACACAAATAAACCCGACACGAACCGGAGTTTTCCCCGATTTTGGTACTGACAATGCTAATTAATATTAATATTTTAATAGTTATAGGCACATAATTTTTCTATGGTTATTCCAAAAACAACTCTGCTAGCCGGTTATCCGCAAAAATTGCAATTCTAATCGTCTAGGGATTAGCTCTCAGCATCCTAATTTTCGTTTTGTAAAATTTGGTATTTATGGCATGTCCAGAATACCTATAGTTTTATACCTATTTTCGTATATGTTATATAGAATACCTATTTTCAGGACGTTTATATTTATACTAAAATGCGGGAGAAGCGGACACCGTCAACGTCGGAAGATTCGGGTGATTTCTCCCCGGGCGGCCAGCTCCTACTCGGGGTCAACGATGTCCCAAAACCATTCTATGCCCTGTTTCTTGCTTTTCAGGTCGGTGGTACGGTATTTTGTAAAATTCCCTTTTAGCAATCGATGGTGGCTCTTTCCGGGTATCTGATCTTTCCATTTCTCGTTTCTGAAGCAGTTTGTGCCGGGCAGGCAACGGCAAGGCTACGGTAGGCTCAGCTTATTTTAGCAAACGCTGCTATTTTTCCAGTGTCAATTTGATCTCAGCTACCTTCGTGTCTGGTGGCATAGCCACGTTTATCCAGAGCACTTTTGGGTTGCGGTATTTTACTGCTTACCGTACGGTCATCGCTTTTTAGACTAGCAATCCTTCACGGCACCTCGTTAGCTTTTTTGGCACCAATCCAAGCATACCAGTGAGCCGCATGTTTTCTGAAAAACTATATTTTCTTGTCTAGGACGCTAAATGGTGAATGCACAGCCGGTGACTCGTATGTGCCGGAGGAGGAATGGCAGGGAAGGCTGGCTACGGTAAGCTACAACGGATTCAGATTTTTCCGGGGGCCAAACCACCCACAGTGTGCCGCTCTGAACGTTATCAGAAAATGAGTGTAGCCCGGTGATGGGGGATGATCTTTGGCTGACAAAAGACTCGAATGGAATTGATGATTAAATTGCAGCTTTCCGGGAGTCTAATGATTGCCTGCTGTGTGTTCATCCTTATCGGAGCTACAGGAGCTGTCGGATTGTTTGCCAGACATGTCGGACCGATTACGATAGGTGAGTTTCAAACGGTCAATAAGGGATCAGGGAAATTTAATTCGATAGACGATTACAGGGTGTCCAAAAAAATTGTTCCGGACTTTGGGCTCGAATAACTTTTGATAGAAGAATATTTCACCTTGCGTGCCATGCCAGAAGCTTAAAAGTGTCTGGAACCCGATTAGATCAACTGATTTTCGATTTTTGGCGACGTATCAATACAAATGACACCCGAAAACTGTGCGTTCCGGGAAGTTTAATTTGTATTTTCCTCAGCCGCCTCTGGCGGGGGGTTTCTAATTTTTTGCTGTGTAAATTCTTGTAGGCATCAGATACTTACATGCAAAATTTGAGATTTTTCTAAGGTCTGGTTGAAAAGTTATAGCGGACTGAAGTTTAGTATGGAGAAATTTCGTAAATTTCGAGTATTAAAAAAACCTATGGCGAAAATCCCAAACTAAGTCGTTGTGGATTGCCGACAGACTCTATACTATCATATAAACATATTAAAGAATTTTTTGAGATCGGTGATTTTTCGAATTTTTCAACGACCCCCTGGTCATGGATTTTTTCGGGGTCACGAAACCGAACTTTCAAAAAATATTTCTAAGATTGTAAATAGAACCTAGATGTTTTCTTTGCTTGGTTGTGTAGGACTGGGGTCCATCTATCATGTACACAATTTCTAGCTACCGTACCCCTTCGGAAGGGTGCCTTTTAGCCCCTCCAAAACGGTTGATTTGTGCTATTTCGCAGACCTTCGTGCCAGTCTATAAAATTCATTTGCGCGGCTAGAATTATTGTCATAATTTTATTTAATACTGCTTAATTGGCGCATCCTAAGCTTATATTTGGAAATTTATTGGACCATACAATTTGTCAAAAGAAATTCATGAAAAGTCCAAATATACCCGAATTCGAGGCGACGTAAAAAGATTCTCGAGGGTTTGGTAGCCCCGACTTTTTTGGCATAGACCAAGCTTGGTTAGTTAACTAAAACCCATGGAAATATAAAATCTTTTCATGGCAAACGAATTTCGGAGAGCTCCCCAAAGTCGGTTTTTCGAAAACGTGATTTTCGGGTTTTAAATCAAAATTAGCCATTAAATTCAGCCAGATCATTCCAGAATTCTGCTTTTATACACAGTTCGATGCGTGCTTTAATTGTATCCACCAAACCCCGGAGCCTTTTTCATTTTCAAAAATTCGATATTCGACTCCGGAACTCGGATCCAAAATCGGGCCCCGAGGAGGGTTTTCCTCTTTCCCTTATAACTTTGTTATTTACCACAGAAAGTAAGTAATTTTTCGCCTGCTTCCTTATAATCACTCAGAGAACATTCTAGAATAGAAAAATCGGCATTTTATGGCATTTTGTCTTGGCATGCTAAAACGTGCTCCAGGCGGGTTACGGTAGAAAACAGAAAATCGACGTTTTCTCGCTCTTTTCACCATAGAAACGTTTCGATCTTTCGGGAAAACAAATAATAGTAGTTTTTGGACCCATGCATCAAAATATTTAGACAATTCCGTGGCTAAATGCAAAAATAAGGCATATTTTGGGAAGGTGTATGGCTAGAACTTTGCGATATTTAGCCCATAGGTGACCCTTACTGGTGTTTACCAATGATAAAATTTTAAGCAAAATCGCAGCTTACGATAAAAAGAAAAACGCGAAAAACCAAAACTACAGTATCCCTCTGGGGCACGTTTTAGCAAGCAATATTAAAATACCATAGAATCAGGTAAAATTTGGTGTTGGGCTAGGATTATCATTCGAGGCACCATCTGCAAAGACAGCCATGGGCAGCGAATTTGAAGCGAGTTGCGAATTAAAAGGCAAAAAGCTGCAAAATAGTGAAATTTGTTGTGCTTGTAAAAGAAGAACTGGAGCTTCAAAAATTCCAAGATTTGGGGACTAACTTTCTATAAATTTTAGCTATTTTTAGGCCAAAATTCAGAATTTTTCCACCACCCGTTCAAGAACGCACAATTTTCGGTCGTAACCAGCGTCAATAGTACAGTTGTGTACTCAAAATCGAAAAAATCAAGTTGATCTAAATCGGAGTTCCAGACACTTCTAAGCATTCTGGCATGGTAACGCATGGTGAAATATTCTTCTATCAAGTTATTCGAGCCCAAAGTCCGGACTTTTTGGCACCCTGTATAGTACCCCTTCTCACCCTCCTTGCCATCTCCACGGTGCCAACAATCGAGGAGAAGCTCAGCTCACATTATATGGCCATAGTGTAGGAAAACTTACAATGGAAATAACTTTCGTTTAGAGAACTAGTACTGCTGGTTGTGTTCGTCGTTTTTCTTGAGCATGTCCAGGTTCCGATCCCATACTACTCCTTGGGAAAGCGAAGGATGGCTGTCGCCAGGACGCCACTGTTTGGACAATTCCCGGTAAGGTAATTCAAAGTCTTGCGCTCTCTGCTTTTTTCAAGTTTTTATGAATTTGGTAAAAAAAAAACAAAAAAAAAAAATAAACTAAAAATTCCGTCTACAAGATTTTTGCAGTACTTACTGTCCCTTGGCATCGCCTGGTTTATTTGCTATATCCTCTCCTCAGCCGCTATCATCAGTGATGATTCACCGGCTTCCACGAAAAGGTATGGGATGAATTTTCGCAGTAGTGTTTCTATACCATATTATAGAAACGAGACCCATGGGCTGATTGCTAACGCACCATGGGTGAAAGTACCGTATCCAGGTACCCTTCCATGTGGTAAAGAAGAATTCAAATGGTTAAGGCGAGTACGGTGGATTCCGCGTGAATACGGCGTTGTGTCTGGGATTTGTGGCCTCTGTATTGTCATCAGTTATCGAGAATGTCGGCTCGTATAAAATGGGTGCTAGGGTTTCCCATCAGGGAAATCCACCGGTTGACAATGTCAATCGAGCCGTCATGGTTGAGGGTGGGTATTTGATGGTTGATTTAAAGCATGTTCTCATACCTTTGGCTGCTAGAAAACCATAGAAATCGTTCTTAACGGATTCAGGTCTTGGCAGTATGCTGGCTGCCTCACTTGGTGTCTCTACTGGCGTCACTACATATGCAGAAAATATCGCCCTCCTTCATATTACAAAGGTATTCAAGGTATTCACGAGATATTCGAATCTCTAGGTGGCATCTCGCGTCACCGTCCAATTGGCTGGTGTGTTGTCAGTGGCGCTGGGGCTTTTTACGAAGGTAAGTGGGGTGTATCCTTAAAAAATTGCGGAGAAGCCATTTGTGGTTGTTGATGGTGTTTTAATCAACGTTGCTTTAAGCTTCGATCATTGAAAAAGCTCTTTTCAGTTGGCGGCAATACTTGCCTGCATTCCGGATCCGTTGATCGGCTCGATTTTGTGTCTAGGGATGAGTATGATAGCTGGTGTGGCGCTATCAAATCTAAAGGTAGGTTCTTCTAAATCTGGCAGCATCCTAGTCAACATTGGCAGTATCATTGATAAGCTAGACAGATCGGATGACATTGATAGACTAGCTTTCAGGTAGTCAACCTCTCCCAAACCCGTAACCTGGCCATTATGGGTCTGGCCTTGTTGCTGGGGTTGGTCGTCCCCTCGCACTTCACAAAGAGCCCAATCCGGACCGGTTTGTGTTAGTCTTTTTCGCAACGCTTAGATTTCAGGTAGCGACACCTGGGATGAGGTGTTGAACATGTTGCTCAGGATTCAGATGCTGATCGGCGGGTTGTTCGCATTTTTGATGGACAATATGGTGCCAGGTGGGTGTGCAGACTTGAGGTTATGGCAATCAAGAGGACCGGAAAGCCATAAAAAAACATGCTAAGCAGAGTTTTTGATGGAAACTAAAAAGCCGATAAATTTCAAAAATAAAGCCTATAGGTGCCAGCCGAAAAGATCGCGGGCTAGCTGGTGAAGAGGAAGAAGCCGAATTCCCGCTAGATGGATTTGCACTACCCGATTGGGTGGATAGGTAAGCCTAGTCGTATTTGCAAATTTTTCACCTTGTTTTCAGTGGTCTAGACAAACTGCCCATACTTCGGCGACTACCCTTTCTTACCCTCAAAAAGTCATCGAGCTCCGGCCAAAACAGCAGCCTATGCATTTGATATGGACACGGTGCTAAAATGTTAATAAAATGTAAATACCTCTTTTTTAATGCCCTAAAATCCCGAGTATGGTCCCCCGAGTAAAGTTCCGGGTGAAACGTACGTAGCGTTCGTAATTCCGTATGACCGTAAAGAGGTGTGTTTCGTTTTTTCGTTACTCGCAATAAAAGGGTTTTGGGGGGGGCCGAAAAAGGGTTTGGTTGTTTTTTTTCCTCTTTTTTTTTTTCGGCGGGAGGGGATAGGTGATTAAATTTTGGGGGTTTTTTTTTTTTAAGGGTAAAAAAAAGTTTTTTTTGGGGGGTTAAGAGGGGCGTAAAAGTAGGAAAAACAAAAAACATTATGAAAAATTAAAAAAAATAAAATAATTTTTTTTTTTTAAATTTTTTTTGGGGGGGAGAAATTTTTTTTAAAAAAAATAAAAAAAAAAGAAAAGAGGAAAAAAAAAAATTAATTTAACAAAAAAAAAATTTTTTTTTTTTTTTTTTAAATAAAGGGAAGGGGGGTTTTTAAAAAAAAAAAGGAGAGGATATTTTTTTTTTTTTTATTTTTTTTTTTTTTTTTTTTGGTTTTTTTTTTTTTTTAAAAAAATAGAAAAATTTGGGAAAAAAAAAAGAAAAAAAAAAAAAAAGAAGGGGGGAGGGGGAAAAAAAAAAGAAATAAGGAAATAAGAGAAGGATAAAAATAAAAAAAAAAAAAAAAAAAAAAAAAGAAAAAAAATTTTATAAAAAAATTAAAAAAGGAGAGAAGGAAGGCGGGGGGGTGGGGGGGGGGGGGGGGGGGGGGGGGGGGGGGGGGGGGCCGGGGGGGCGGGGGGGGGCCCCGGAAAACAAACCCAGGGGAAAAAAAAAAAAAAAAAATTTTATTTTTTTTTTTTTTTTATTTTTTTTTGGTGTTTTTAAAAAAGGGAGGTGGTTTTTTTTTAAAAAAAAAAATTTTTTTTTTTTTTTTTTTTTAAATAATATATTTTAAAAAGGGGGAAAGAGGAGGGGGGAAAAAAAAAAGAAAATTAAAAAGAAAAAAAAAAAGGGGAATTTTTTTTTTTTTTTTTTTGGATTATTTTTAAAAATATAAAAAAAAAAAAAAAAAAAAAAAATTTTTTTTATTGGTTTTTTTTTTTTTGAAATTTTTAAAATTTTAAATATTTAAATTTAAAAGGAAATTAATAAAAAAAAAAAAATTTTAAAAAAATTAAATTATAATTATTTTTGAAAATTATAATAAAAGGGAAATATTAAAAAAAAAATAAAAATTAAAAAAAAAATAAAAAAAAAAAAAAAAAAAAAAAAATAAAAAAAAAACAAAAATACAAAAAAAAAAAAAGAAAAAAAAAAATGAAAAAAAAGAAAGAAAAGAAAAAGGGGGGGGAACGGGGGAGGGGGGGCGGTTGGGGGGGGGGGGGGATAACTCCGTTCATGAAAGGTATTTTTACCATTTTGATTGAAGATTTGCTCACATGTGGAATAATTCCAGCATTTTGAGTGGTTTAAAGAAAGAAATTGATGCAGATAATCCTAAGAACCGCTTCTTTTGGCTTACATAGCTTTTGCGCAAGAGGCCGGGGACGCACGTTATTAGAACGTCATTTGTATTGGTACGTCGCCAAAGTGTACCGGAACTATACTCGGGATTTTAGGGTAACATTTATTGCACACAGAAAATAACTAAGACGGATAGAAGAAAATAGATTATTAAGATGGGATCAGATTCTTCGGAATTCGATTGGTTGGAATGTGGCGGAATGGGGGCGGAACAGAGAGATTTTCGGGACGGCAATTAACCGCGAAGCACCAAATAGCGTAGCGAGACAAGCAAATTGGATCAATGCATATTATTGATTATTTGAGGGATGGGGGACCCGTTGTTGGGGGAAAGAGGCGATCGATGATTTTGGGAGGGAATGCCGCATTAATAGACGTCATTTCGGGTGGATGGGAGCTTCTCGTCGCGGTGGAGGGCGTGGCAGCCATAGACGACGATGAGGGCAGAGAGGAGAAGGCAGACAACAGATGCTGACACGACGGCACAGACGAATCCGGTCTCGGAGACGCACACCGTGTCCGCGGGCCATGGTCTGAAAAAAGGGCGGGTTTTTGGAATTTTTGGAGGGTTTTACGGCTTCTAGAAAAAGGGAAAGTTCCGCAATAGCTAGTTAAAGCACGTACCGGTGGATATCAGAAGCGTTTCCATTAATTCCCATGTTGTCCTCCTCCTCGCCCTTGGCCAGCACGCGGATGATGGCTGAAGATAGGGACATGGTGGTGGTTTGATACACTTAAACTTACCGGAAAGCGTCTCAGCGGTGTGCTCCTCGGAAGTCTCGGCCAGGGCGGACCTCTTCTTCCTGCCGTGCGACGTGAACAGCTCGTTGGTGCCCGAGTCCAAGCAGTTCGACTGGAAAACGAGATTTTTAAGGAACCAAAATAAAAAATTCGAGAACTTGGGTGAAAAATCCGTTTATCGCCTACCACGGGGCATCCATTGGGGCCAGCGCAGAACATGACGGTGCACATCACCTGCACATCGTACGAGCCGTCGAGGCGGAAGGCGCGGACTTCAGACTAAAAGCAAAGGATTTTTGTATGGTTTTCTGATAGGGGCGTCAGAAAAGAGAGCACGAGCATGGAAAATATTCCACTTACCTTAAGCCTGTTCTTGTCGAAGTCTTGCTCGACGGGACCGACGAGGGCTGGGTAACGGGGGCATCTGGAATCAAGATATTGAGAGAGAGCGGGAGAGAGAGAGAGGGAGAGAGAGAGAGAGAGAGACAGAGTTAGAGAGAGAGAGAGAGCCGGTGCCTTACCCATTCTCGATGAGCGTGAAGGGCACAGATTCGCCGCGTCCGCCGATTCTGGTGGCCGTGCACTCGGTGACCATCATGTTGTGCGGGCCGGCTTGATCCGAGGAGATGACCATCAGCAGCGGGTCTCCAATCGAAGCCTGAACGCGCTCGAATTCAGACCATCCATTAGTGCGCTACCTTCTCGAGGGGCTCGTCAAGTTGGTTGAAGAAGGTGAGCGTGGCAGTGACCGGGGGTGGGGTGGCGGTGTCCAGCACTTGCGTCTTCTGGTTGCTGAAAAAGAATGGTGAAGTTTAATTGACACATCAAGTTAGCGTATAAAATCCTGTGATATGATTGAATCTCAAAAACAGCCAATTCTTGACGTACTTGGCCTCATAGATGGTGGTGACGACAACGGATCCCTCCTTGGTCATCTTGTCCATCGAGACGTCGCACGACACGCGGTAGAATCGATCCCATTCGGTGGTGACTTGATGGGGAAGGACACCATCGAGCGAGACGACGACCAGCGCCTCCATCTTGCCGTCACGGATCACCGTTCCGCAGTCAGAGGAGACGGTCGGGGGAGGGAAGGTGATCGAGATTTGCTTCGCGTTTTCGACGACCTAAAATATAATTTTATGAAGTTAATTTTGGGGAACCTTTGCCAGCCCACGTTTGCCAATATCACAAAACCTACCTGGCTGCAAGTGGAGAAGCGCTCGGCGGCATAGATGGCTCCGGTGTAGGGTTCCTTGGTGTTGACGATGAAGCGGATACCGTCATTGGTGCACAGTGCCATGCCACCGAATTGGCTCTCACAGTTGAACTCGTAGTAGTCCATCGACGGGTTCGCCTTGATGTTGGCGTCGGCGCGGCCAACGGCATAGATGAAGCACGACGAGGCTGTCCTGAAAGGGCGATTTTTTTGATAAAATGGATCAGCTAGCAAGACACAAATCTACACCTCAAGCTCCTCACTAACCTGTCATAGTTGATGGACTTGCAGTTGAGGTTCTGGAAGCACAACGAGATGCAGTCAGAGACAGTGACACCCTGGGCCGAGGCGACAACCTCGCCCTCGATCGATGAACCGATGAAGCGCTCGAAGGCGGCCTGCTGACGGCAGGTGGATGAGGAAAGATCGGCTAAAAGGATGGAATTCTATAGCACCGACTAGCTATCAAATTACCGGCAACGCAGATCGGCTCGTAGTAGTCCTTGGCCTGGACCTGACCCTGTTGATCGGCACGGGAGAAGGTGTCTTCATCGGAGACGATGCAGTTCTTCTCATTGGGCGAGAACTCGACCGAGCTGGAAAGAAACGATAAAAATTGAGAGTTGGGACACGAACCGGCAGAAGGTGTTGAGCGAGTCGAGGCACTTCTGAAGACAATAGCTCTCCTGGGCCTCAACGGATTGGGTGTGGTCGTAGAAGTGGATCTCGAAGTTGGTGGTCTTCACGAAGACGAGGTTTCCTCCTTGTTGGCCGCAACTAGGATGGAAATTAGATGGATCAAAAGCATCAGACTTACCGGTTCTGACGGGACAGGCAGTTGTTGTCGTAGTAATCGACGTTGATGTCGGTCATGGAGAGGGCGGTCGGCTTGCTTCTTCTGTCCTCAGCATTCAGCTCGCACATGTACGTGTCGTGGTTGTAGTTGACGGAGCGGCAGACGAACTCCTTCTCCTTGAGGCAGGTGGAAAGGCATTGTTCGCGGCCGGAAACCTGGAAATTGGGGATAGGGCGCGTGTGAGCGCAGGTTTAGGCTTAGGCTTGGGCTTAGGCTCAGGCTTAGGCTAACGCTTAGCCTTGGGCTTAGACTTCGACCTAAGCTTTGGCCTCGACCTCCCAATAGCTTTCAATGCCTTACCTGAACGGTCTTCTTGACGAATCCCTCGAGAATGGTCTTGCGCATACGCTCGAACGAGAACGACCGGTAGGTGCACGCCTCGTGGGCAGTGACGGCGGGCAGACAAGTCTTCTGAAACACAACGATTTTCTAGTCATTTTCGAACATTCTGATCAAAAATCACGCTCCCAACCTCATAGTAGAAGTTGTTGGCTGATGGGTTGGCCGTCAACTGTCCAGTGCCGGCCGGGGCGGCGGCATCATCGAAGAAGTAGCAGGTCTCGCTGAAAAATCCCAGAATCTTGAATGCATGTGATATTTTACCGGCCGTCAAAGTTGAACGAGGCGCACACACGCTGGGCTCCGGTGGTGGGCTCGATGTTGTTGCGGCAGTACTGAGCACAGGTCAAGTCGTGGCCTGGAAAGAGGTGAAGTTTAGGTTGTATTCCGCAATTTTTCGGAATTTTTTCGCTAGAGATGTAGGGAATCCGATAAATATATCAGTATTTTGATAAACTTGGTAAAATTATTTTAGGTCCAATTGTCTGAAATCGTATAGATTTTTCTGAATTATATGATTGCAGGATCCCATAATTGCAAAAGGTTTTATTTCGGTTTCGAGATATAAAAATTCTTCGACTGGCATGGTTTCACCGACCAATTTTGCAAAATTAGTAACCGGAAGTCGATTTTATCAGCGTGTTTCTTTCGGCTTAACGGTGTTTTCATAGCTGTTCTGATAATTTTACTGATTTCTGCTGAAAACTACTATGATTTTATCTTGGCTTCAATTTGGCACAGCTTAGGCTTAGGTTGTTAGAATTGTTGTTATATGCATTTCAGTAAAAATCGTCTTGTCGAAAAAAATCACCTTTTCCAAAAGCATTTTTGTCGAAAATAGTTTCCTCAAAATTCATGCTGTCTCAAAGTCATTTTGTCGAAATTTCGTTCTGGTCCAAAATTCAATGGTTTTTGCCTCAGTTGCTCATCTCAAAAATTCAGAAAATTTGAAATTTTAACACACTTCTTCGGCGTAATTTCAATTCGACAGAATGATTTTTCGACAAAATTAATGTCGACACACTGATCGAAAATTATAATTTTTATCCAATAAAATGCCAGATTCTTTAATTCCTTACTTCCCTAAAGACAACATTCACAGCTTTTAATACCTTTCAATCATTAAAATCGTTGTTCAATCGACCTGACCCCTACATCGGTTCGACTGTTGGCTTTTGGCTAGTCAAAGCGGGGGGAGAAACGCTTCCCAGCCTTTCCCCGCTTTGGGTAAGTGGGTCAACGCTTTGTCAGAGGGGAGGGGGAGACATTCCCTCTAAAGCGAAAGTTCTTCCCTTTTTCCCCGTCGAAAAGGAGACCGAAATGCGCGTTGACCCGTTTCGCCCCTCCCGGAATCACTGAGTGTATCACGTTGCAATCAACCCTCCGGAAAATCAGCTCTTTTTCTCGCCGGGAATTGGGTCGATTTTTGGGGTGGGTGAAATTGGGGTGCACTTGCGGTGGGAGGGAAAGTCGGCCGGGTTACGGTAGAACTGTTGAAAAATCGTTCATAAGGCTTAGTTTCGAAATTTCCGGGGATTTCTTGGTTCAAATCTAACTAATTTTTAATCGAACTGATTAGGTCTCTTGAAAAAATCCTAATATTCCCTCCTCGGATGCGGTAAGACTCTACACGACTGATGCGGAACCGAGAAACACGCAAAATCAGCCAATTGCTATGGTTTTCCTCAATTAAATCGTTCGGAACCGGAGGAAATCGTTACGCGGCAAATTTTTCACAGCATCTTTGGAATCAGCGCAAAATTCTTCAGTAGATTGTCTTTACCGAAGCCCCGATGACACAAAAAAGGTCTCCTTGTAAAGCGGACGCTCCGTTGTGTAATTCAAGCGGATCGATTTTGCCCCTCAAGAAACTTCTCCACCTACCGGCAGTAGAGACGACGAGCGGCGTCCCGTCAAGCCGTGCCCTGGATGTGCGCACGAAAGCGGTGGTCTCCTGGCTTCCGCACTCGAAGACGGCCCCTATTAAAGGGACGAGCCCCAGCAACGCCAGGCCCACGATCATCGCAAGTCCCTGGAAAGCCGAAAATTATAACCTTTGTTGGAGACGCAAATAAATATGAGACGAACAAAACGGAAAAAGTAGATTTTATTGAAAATTTCATTTAAAACTGAAGATTCCTGGAAAAGGGCCAAATTTTGTAATTTCCTGAAATCCAGTTAGTTTACCTGTGAAAACATTATATTGACCGTTTTTAAAGCTTGTTCTGGCCTAAAATTTCAAATTAAAATTCCGATATTCGCGCCAAAAACCTGGCTTATCCAGTGCCGCGCCTTTAAGGGATTAGGAAGGCAAAATTTATGGATTTTATTAGCTATGGGTTCCATGAGGAATTTTCTACGCCCGGGATACGCAGCGCTTCAAAAACGTTCAATTGCGTCAGCACGGAAAAGGTGCCACAATTCAGAAAAAAATTCCTAGACAATCAAATCCATGACGATGCCTTGCCGATCCCTTTAAAGGCGGTTAAAGATAGAAGCAAAAATGTGTCTCGACGGCACCGTTGAAGGTGACCCGTTAAGAGGATCGGGGCGGGATCCCGTCTATCCACCCCCTCTCAATGGGTTTTTGTAGGGGGAAGGGGGAAGGGGGGAACATGACCACAACGCGACGAACCGGTCTCCCTCTTCCAGAGAATCCTGGTGCTTTTCCTAAAAGGCACCCTGAAAATCGAGGCACCACGATATGCATGGATAGCCCCCTCGGGGGAAAGAGGGGGGATCGCGAAATAGCGTCATTCTCGGGCACATCCGGTTACGGTATCTTGGGTGAGTCATTCGGGAGGTGACACCAGATATTCGAGAATCAAGATTTGAGGATGGAATTTGGCTATTTGATATACACGTTTTGGAAATTAGGAAGTTTTATGTTCTTAAATCTTCCTTTTCCCCAATATCGAAGCCGGATCACCCCGTAGTTAACAGCTTTCCCCAAAAACCATGCTAGCAGGCCTCATCCGGGGCCAGGTAGAAAATTACGTGTAAGCTAAGAACCAGAAAAGTCGTTTTCTAGCGAAAAAACCCGCTGCATCTAGGTACTGGACTGTTAGCGGGGGGAGGAATTTTTAGGAAGAGACACTAAATTTTTCAAAATCTATCACATAAATGATTTTTATAGTATTTAAAAGGCCGTTTGCGAGCCACCCGAACTAGGCTTGGCACAGTCTGTTTTTCGACCCTACTTTTTGACGCCATCGGATGGCATGACGAATTAGTGGGGCTGCATAGTTTTGAAAGTTTAAAAAGTTTAATTTGGGGGTTTAAATGGGCGTTGAAGTTGCAGACCCTCAAAAATTATCTTGGAAGTTACTTAACCAAATTCGCTGAAAATTTGTGTCAATACCTAATTTTGGACGGGGATCATTTCTCTAATACATCGCAAAGCGTGAAAATGGCCGGAACATGGGAATCTCGCGTACCCAAAACAGTTTTTGAAGATTTTCGTTGTGAAGGGTTGTTGACTGCGCGCTGTAAATAGCATAGAAAGATGCGCAAAAACTTTCTGCATCGAATGGTGTATCATTTAGCGCGCAGACAGGAACCCTTCATATTCAAAAAAGGGCTTAAAAGCTACCAAAAAGAAAAAATTCGAATATTTATAAAAAATAAAACATGGACTCCCATCTAGAGGGTCCAACCGCACGATCGCAAAAGAGCAAGAATTCGACTTTGAGAGGGGGCTGGGATTGAACTCGGGTCGTTCGCCTGGGACATGGCGGCGCCCACTAGCGGCTGTCCCCAGTGCCACCCAGGCGGACCATCGCGGGTTCGGTCCCCGCAAATCGTCAGTTTCGAGTGGGAAGTGAATTTCCTTTTGCTCTTTTTTGCAATGGATACAGTTTTATCTTTAGACCCTATACCCGTTTCCCATTTTTCAAAATATGCAAACCTCGGGGTAGTACCAGCTTTTCTCCCGTTTAAAAATCGCGTTTTTTGAATATGAAGGGTTCTTGTCTGCGCGCTAAATGATACACCATTCGATGCAGAAAGTTTTTGCGCATCTTGCTATGCTATTTACAGCGCGCAGTCAACAACCCTTCACAACGAAAATCTTCAAAAACTGTTTTGGGTACGGGAGATTCCCATGTTCCGGCCATTTTCACGCTTTGCGATGTATTAGAGAAATGATCCACGTCCAAAATTAGGTATTGACACAAATTTTCAGCGAATTTGGTTAAGTAACTTCCAAGATAATTTTTGAGGGTAATCAACTTCAACGCCCATTTAAACCCTCAAATTAAACTTTTTAAACTTTCAAAACTATGCAGCCCCCCTAATTCGATCATGCTCTATCCGATGGCGTCAAAAAAACGGGGACGAAAAAAACTGTGCCAAGCCATATTGGGGTCTGTTCGGGTGACCCGCGGACGGCCTTTTAATGCGGTTTTTAGGTATAATCAATTTCTAAAAGTTTAAATATATGTTTAAAAGTTTAAAGTTTAAATTTTTGCAAAAATTTGGCCTTCTTGGTCAAAAATACATGAAAAATTACAAAAATTTCATTTTAGATAATTTAGATGATGTGATTTAGCTTTTACAACACAAAGCAAAATTTTCAAATTGTCTTATAAATTTTGAGCAATCAAAATCGATGAAATGAGTATCAAAGTACATTACGTAAAACCGGGGAAAAACGGGTTTACCGCTGTTAAAAGCCTCCCCCGCTAATAGTCCAGTACCTGCATCTCTATACTATCAGATTAAATAAAATTACAGTAACCGACAGATACTTCGAAAGTGAAAGCTCAAAAATTGAATGGCCACAACTAGGGTTAGCCAAGGCCAGATCTCGATGCTGTATTATACCGTAGTGAGCAGACTCGAGATTTGGTGGCGACCCGGATCGGATGAAGGTGAAGAAGAAGGGGGGGAAGGAAGGGAAGGGGCTAGTGGGTGGTGGATGGGGGATGGTATGGGATGGATGGATGGATAGAATGGCCTTGGCCCGGTGACCCTTATCGCTTATCTCCGCCGACACATTCCCCCATTTTTCGGCTACCAACGAGCCTGGTCGAGACAGCCCTCTGGCCCTTCCTCTATACTCATCCTCACCGCCCGAGCAGATCTCATCCTAGCCGGTGCTTAGGGTTCGCCAGTTACACATGGAATCGGGGGACCTGGGCAAGTGAAAATGTCAAGTTTATGGGATTGCGAGACGCAATGAGCCAAATTGACGATAGGTTTCTTGTGAAAGCTGGAAAAATTATTTGACCAGGCGTCTTAGCCCCTTTAGAAATACAGGATGTCCCAAAAAATCCACCCCCTCTAGCGGGCCGCACTTATGTCCGATTGTGACGATTTTGGTATCTATCGTAAGCTCGCAAAAAGGCGAGAAAACAAGCACTTTTTGTCGTCAATAACGTCATTTGAAGTCCCGAAATTTAGGGCGAAAATCCATGAAAACTGCAGATTTTATGCAAAATCAGCATGTCAAGTTGCTAAAGCAAACTGGATGATGCTGATTTTGACTCTTTTTTAAGAAATCGTTGAATATCGAGCGCGGGCTAGAAAAATTTGTAAAACGAAAAGCGCTGGTTTTCTCGCTTTTCCGAGAGCTTTCGAATGGTGTAAAAATCATCCCGATCCGACTTTTCTCCGGACCGCTAGAGGGGAGGACGATTTTTTTGGGACACCCTGTAGAGCAAATCAGGATATCTAGCTCAAGAATTTTGTCTGGTCTTTCCAGGTTCCGACACAGCCCAAACTCCGCAATGCTCTGCAATCCAAGTTAACGTCTAGTTTTCCTGTTTGAAATGTGGACGGCTTCTAAAATTGTCTTATAGCAAGTTTTCCTTTCTCAATCTCTTTAATAGAACACATCTTCACGCACATATAAAAATCTTTATTTTCACATCAATGAGCAGGCGACACTCTCGGTGCGCGGTGATCCATCCTCGCCAACCCCACTATCGGAACTTCGGCCGGTGCCAAGCCTGAATAACTCGTCTTAAAAAGGTAGAAGAAACCCCACCGTTTTTTGATGGCCTTCAATTTCTGGAGGGTGCCGGTGCCCTGTTCGGATGGGAGGGGCTTCATCGCATCCAGAACCTATGAATATGGATTGTTTGGATCGTTATCAAGCCTAAGCTAAGCCCAAGCTAAGCCTAAACTAACTCTAAGCTCAGTCTAAGCTAAGCCTAAGCTAGGCCTAAGCTAAGTCTAAGCTAAGCCTAAACTCAGCCTAAGCTAAGCCCAAGCTAAGCCAAAGCCAAGCCTAAGCTAATCCTAGGCCTGGCTCAATCCAACTTACCCGAATGGCCCGCTGAGCATGTTCTCTGGCCTCCTCCCATTCTCTGGCCCCCTCATCGGTATGCAATTCGCGATATCCATCGATCGTCTGCTCCTCTCCTAAATGATGCCCCGCGGTTACCGTACCCACGTGCTCTCCCCTCACCCTTCGGCCGATCCGTAATCTCCCAGGCGCTCATTTTTTCGTTGCGCTCCAGGTAGTGGGTGAGCATCTTCATCGTCCCAATGTCAACGTAACCCTGGGAATTGGGCACTATTGATTTTTCGGTGTTTTGGGATGGAATATGACTTTCTTTAAGGTTAGATACCTTTGAAGCGAAGACAAAGACGGCTGACGGTTGTTGTTTGGTGCCCTTTGTAACCATGCTAAACGTTTCAGAAACTTTTCGCAATCAAGAGAAATCAGCCTACGTTCTGGCGGCGTTGCTGACCAAAATCTTTCCGGCGTCGTTGTGCTCGCAAATGGCTTTGGTGATGGCGACGGTTTCGCCAAGGACGCAGTATCTACGCTTGCATTACAATGGGGTTTAACCTCAAGAGTACCTCGGCTTTTTCTGGCTAACAATCCCGGTGACAACTGGCCCGACGTGGACGCCGATGCGGAGCTGTAAGGGGAGAGACACTTTGAGGCAGCTATAGGCACATTACCCGGACCGATAGGTTAAGCTCGGGCACGATGACGAGTCGAGCTTCCAGAATCATGCCCAGCGCTAGGTTGAGGATCTAGGAAGGGCGTCTCATCGCAAAAACCATGCCCAACCTTTTCACAATATCGCTCACACGGGGCCGGTACCCCACACACCACCAAATAGGAATCCATCAACGACAACACTTTGTAGCACTGAAAATGGGGTAGAGAATCCGTGACTTCGAGTATTACGCAACTGGTTACGCCCTAAAAATTCACCTTGTGTAAGTCGATCAGCCGATCGAATCGATGGAAAAGGTCGGTGATCAGCTCGATCATTTGCGCCGGCTTACAGTGCACGTTGATTGTCGGGAAATCGGGCATATCGGCCGACAGGACGGCGCAATCACCGAATTCTTCTGAATCAGGTTGTATTGAGCCGTGGGAGCTTAAGCTTGGGCTTAGCTTAGGTTTAGATTCAAGCTTTAGCTTGGGCTCAGATTTAAGCTAGGCATAGGCTGAGGCTTAGGATTAGACGAAGGAGTAGGCTCGGGTCGGCTTGCGCTTGCGCTCAAACTTAGGCTTGGGCTTACAAGGGGATGGTCTCAGCTCGGAATCGAATTCGGATTTGAAAATTTGCACACTTATAGAGCTCGACGAGACAAATCGATTGGTGTAACTTTCAGCAGCAGATACCCCGAACTAACAAAGTTATAAGCATTTTTAGTTTTTGCATACATTTTGCAGATTTTTCGCCATACCTTCATAAGCCCTCCCCCTTCCCCTATCACCGTGGCCTGGTGGCCTAGTGGTGTGGTACGCGGCGTCTGGGGAATCTATCAAGGGTTCGAACCCGCTCACGATTTTTATTTTTTGCTTTTTGGTCCAAAGATTCCTCTTGGCATTCCAAAGACCTTTAATGGCTTTTTAGGCATTCACCAGGAACCAGGAAGCGCTTGCAGCAAAAAATTCCACTCCTAAAAATTTTTGGAAATTTTGAGAGTTGGCAAGGTAACCATAGTAGGATCAGTTCAAAGAAAATAATTTTGATTATTTTCATGCAGCTTGGGATACGATAAAGTGTTGATAAGCAGATTGCCAGCCTTCTGAAAATTTCCCCAAAATTTTTGAGGAGGATGAGAGAGGCAAAAAATGTTAAATTTTTCGCAAAGCTGCTTTATTGTTGGCAACGCTTCCTGGTTCCATAAAAAAAGCCATTAAAGGTCTTTGGAATGCCAAGAGGAATCTTTGGACCAAAAAGCAAAAAATAAAAATCGTGAGCGGGTTCGAACCCTTGATAGATTCCCCAGACGCCGCGTACCACACCACTAGGCCACCAGGCCACGGTGATAGCGGAAGGGGGAGGGCTTATGAAGGTATGGCGACAAATCTGCAAAATGTATGCAAAAACTAAAAATGCTTATAACTTTGTTAGTTCGGGGTATCTGCTGCTGAAAGTTACACCAATCGATTTGTCTCGTCGAGCTCTATAAGTGTGCAAATTTTCAAATCCGAATTCGATTCCGAGCTGAGACCATCCCCTTGTTAGGCATAGGTTGAGCTAGCGTGAGGTTAGGGGTAGGTACGGCAGCGATAGGCTTAGCTTGCGTCAAAGCTCAGGCTTGAGTTTAGGATAAGCTTAAACTTAGATTTAGGCTTTGACAAAAATCCAACCCCTGTTTTTCATCTTTCGAGGGTTGGCATAAAAACTACCACTCACGTGCTTGAACCGGTTTGTGATTGCGCAACGCATCGGCAATCTGTGCGGGCACAAATTCGAAAAGAAGTCGATCCGTCTAAATACAAGTTCATATGATTTGAACGCACCATGTCGAATCCATGCCACCCAGACTTACCTGCCCCTTCTTCGTCTCCAGCTCTTCGGCCATCCCGCGAAGACGTCGCACCGTGTCCTCGAGCTTTTTGCTAAACGTCCGGTAAGTCAAAAAGACTTTAGGCCGCTGACTTGAGCTCCATTTGGCAGATGCGACTTTGGTTGAGCATGACAAGATCTCGGGTTGCGTCGTGCATTGGCATATCCGAGATGCAGAGGTTGAGGTTGAGGATGTCACGGACGGTGGTGACATGAGGGGAACAGAGGAAGAGAATTGTATTTCCTTCGGCTAGTGGGTACATTTGGCCTTAAACGTTGTCGTAAAATAGGGCCGCACTTCTGGCCAGAGAGAGAGAGAGAGAGAGAGAGAGAGAGAGAGAGAGAGAGGAGAAAGAGGCGGAGAGAGAGGGAGAACATAGATGGATAGAGAGGGAGGAGAGAGAGGCAGATAGAGAGAGACAGAGAGATAGCGAGGTAGAGAGAGTGAGAGAGAGCGTGAGCAAGAGAGAGAGAGAGAGAGAGCGCGAGAGTGAAAGAGAGAGAGATAGAGTAAAAGGGAAAGAGAGCGGGAAATGGAGAGAGCAAGAAAGGGGTAGAGAAAGAGAGAGCGAGAGAGTGAGATAGAGGTACTTCTGGCAAGAGAGAGAGAGAGAAAGCGAGAGGGACAGCAAGAGATATCGAGAGAACCAGAGAGATCACCTTTTAAACATAAAGGCTGCTGAAAAGCTGCCACACTGCACGTCGCGTCCTGCTAAAACTCCCATTTTATAACATTTATCTTCAAGCACTTGCAACCTCGTTCCTCCTCGCATGGTGGCGCATTTGGAAGATGAACAGCGTGTTCAAATACGACAGAATGTTCTTGAACGTCAGCTAAAGTGGGTGGCGATCAGGATTACCGTAAGTTTACGGCGTACCTGAATATCGGCCGGCTGGACAAGTTGTACGACATCAGTTAGCTTCACCATCTTCTTGTCGGCCAACGCGTATTCGCAGAGGATGAATTGGCCTGAAAGGTATCAGCGCATTAATAGAATACTTCAGATGCTAAAATTTGCAACTTGACGCACCAACATGCTCGACAATCATTTGCTTATTGAAGCAGATGTGGAACGGGAAGATGACGTTGAAATCTTTGGTGCTGAGGGTACGGAGGAGTTTCTGGAATTTGTAGATTTAAGTGGCTATGACCGTAGGTTACCGTTTCTGGAACCATCTCCAATTGGCTACGGTTGTTACGGCGGAATCGATGGGCCAGTCGTTCGCCTTCCTTGTGCCGTTCGTCTGCTCCGACGCTGGAATAATCCGATATTGGGATTTAGGTCGGCTTAGGCTTAGGCATAGGCTTAAGCTTAGGCATGGGTTAAAGTCGAATTGGTATCACAATGTCGAAAATCATAATGCGAAATTCATAATGCGAACATAATCGAAATCATAATGTCGAAAGCCAAATGTCGAAAATAATGTCGAAATTCAAGTCCAAATTCATAATGTCGAATCATAATGTCGAAATTTCATAATGTCGAAATTTACATAGGCTAATTACCGGTGAAACCGCCAAATCCTAGCCAAAAAAAATTTTCCACATTCTATTTTTTTATCTTATTTCACGACAACATTTTTTGTCTAGAATTCGGGGACTTACCGGGAATTTTAGCTTATGTAAATTTCGACATTCCGACATTTCGACATTCTGACATTTCGACATTATGAAATTTCGACATTATGAAATTTCGACATTATGAAATTTCGACATTATGAGTTTCGACATTATGAGTTTCGACATTATGAATTTCGACATTTTGAAAATTAGCCGTTAAAGTCAGGTTTAGGCTTAGGCTTAAGCTTAGGCTTGGGGCTAGGCCAAGGCAGAGGCTTGGGCTTTTCGATATTCCGTAATACGACGGCAGCAACCGGCTCATATGCGTGTACAAAATACAATCTGGACACCTGCGCCACATGTACGCGCAAAATTAGCAAAAAGCAAAAAAGGCGCGGGGATGGGGTCCGAACCCGGACCTTCCACGTGGGAAGCGGGACGCTTACCAGTTGACTACCGGAGATCTGCAGGGTGGCGGGTTTTTTGCGTAGTTTAAAAGTGTAAAATCGCAATTATTTCAGCTCTGTAGCAAATTCGGAAAATGTGGTGATGATCGCATGGTCGGTTTTATCACTGTGCAAATTTTGGGCCGATCCGTGTTGCTGGGATCTTGGACTTCCCTAGTATTGACTAGATTCCTCTCGACACTTTCCTCTACAGCGACACGCAACGCGCGCCTACTGCCTTGTGGTGCGTGTGACAAATAGTGTAAAATCTCATGACATGACCAGAAAGGATTCCAAAAAACCTGCGCTTTCCCATCTCTTAAATGGCTGCAAAATTTTACCTGAAAATCACATGCTCCACGAGGCCGCTTTTTCGACGCTCCTGTTGACGTTCGAGGACGTTGATCTACAAAAATATATGATCAGAACAGCATGATAAAACTGTAAAAAGAGCTACCCTACGACACCCACCGAAACTTCGATATCAAATAGATATTTGGCCGTCTTGCGCACCAACCCCTTGACGATCGGATACAGACCCTGGCGATTCGAGAAGTAGTGCAGTCGCAGGGTTCTAAGAGCATTAATAGCTCTTACTAGAACCAACCCGTCCCCCTGATCTTCGCATTGAAACGAGGGGCCCTTCATCTCCGACTTGAACGCGATCTGATCGATGAAGTAGTGCATCGAGTTCAAGTTGTCCAAAAAGTCCTGAATTTCGGTGTTTGTATAGATTTTTGGTTAGAGTGCCGTTTACCCCCCCCCCCCCTGCACCCAACTTTTGTATCTCGGCTCCCTGTCCATCTACAGGTGTGTAAAATACACCAAAATGTTTGTCTTGCTCTGGCGAGTATTTTGGTATACTTTACACACCTGTAGATGAACAGGGAGCCGAGATGCGGTAGGTGGGGGAGGTAAACTGCACTTAAGCCAGAATTTTTGTAGAGCCAAAGCTTCAGTTTCGAAGCTCTGTATGCCGTCGAAAATGCTACCTGTAGATTATCAGCCATACATGCCAACATCCGGTTCCACCCCGTCTCGCTGGCATAAGTGATCAAATGGTCGCCGTACAATTCCCACATGTCGTCCACGGATACGCCTGGAATAGAAGAAAAACATCGTTATGTTTTTTATCAGAACCCACCAAGTGTCGCGGCTGCGGCGCGGAAAATTCTGAACGTGTCGCTGTCGTCGTAGTACTGCTGCACTTCGAATTCGGTCTCATCGGAAAAGCCGGCTTTTCTTCTGAAAGTGGGGGACGATCTGACGTACTAACAGTGAGGCGTTTTGGTTCTTTGGCATTATCGGAAGGGGGTGCTTTATTTCTATTATTAAAAGCCAGGATTTTTATTGTTTTGGCAAACTTGAAAATGATTTCAAATGCAAAAATTACTTAGAAAAATTAGCGAACATCGTTATTTCCAATTTTCATCGAAAATCGGCACTTTTTGTCTAAATTTCATATTTTTTATCATTTGAAAGATCAGTTTGCAAATGATTTCAGTTTCAAAAAAAAAGGGGGAAAAAAAAAAAATGGGGAAAAAAAAAAAAAATTTAGAAAAGGGGGGGGGGGGAAAAAAAAAAAAAAAAAAAAAAAAAATCGATGCTCTACTTACTTAATTTCCTTCCACACTTCCAGCCCATATTTGCGGATAATAAGGGTGGAGACGGTGATGTGCACCCAGCCAATCTAAAATGTGACCGTCGCGTTACCGTAGTAAGGGGTACTGAACCGTTAGCAGGGGGACCCAGATTTATTTTGCGGCTGAACTCAGATACCCCCCAGCCGGCCCCCAACTTTTGTACCTTGGTTCCTTGTTCATCTACAGGTGTGTAAAGTATATCAAAATGTCTGCTAAAAAAAAAAAAAAAAAAAAAAGGGAGGGGGTTTTTAAAATTTTTTTTTTTTTAAAAAAAAAAAAAAAAAAAAAAAAAAATTTTTGTTTACTAGAACGCTGCAAAAATATTTTCACTTTTTTAAAAATCACAAATTTTGATATTTTTGGTAATTTTTCATACATTTTCTCAAAAACTTTCAAACTTTTGATAAAAATTAGTTTTACTCGATTAAAGGACCCCCCGCTAACAGTCCAGTACCTAGGGAGATGTATCAACCCAGACCAACCATGATTTATGCCTACCATTTTCCGTTGTCAATCTCAAAGCGTTGAGTCGTTGCCGCCTGATGTCGAAATTCTCGAAGAAGCCCGGCCACGAAAATTCCCGAATTCACGGTGTAGATGGGTGAAAGTTGGTTTCGGGGGGACGAGGGGATTCTGATGTGGATGGAGTTGTCGGGGCGACGGCGTGACGGAGGGTCGCGTGTCCGGAATCTATCAAAAATTGAGGATGAAGCAGGCGGCTTCTCCTAACCTCGATCGCTCCACCGGATGGAGCAACTTGCGAAAGGGGAGGTCCCATGAAATTTGTCGGCTAGATCCAAAATTTCCAAACATTTGAGTAAGTTGAGAGGGCAAGTTGGGTTTTGCCAGAAATTCCCGCCCTATTGATGTAAGCAAACAAATTTAAAGTTCTAAAAATGTACCTGAAATAGCTGAATATTTTTGACGTTTTTAAAGCAACTTAGCAGCTCACAAATACATGATTTGCACAAAAATATCAAAAATTACAAGTATTTTTAGGAATCTGTCGCCAAGCTAAAAACCCAGGATTTGATGTAGAATTTAATTGCGCATCTTTTAAAGGGCTGCCGACGGCATGTGTCGATCCCCCCCCCCATCAACAAATTGGCAAGTAGCCAACAGGGAGAGAGCACGCCCTGGGGAGAGGCGCAGAGACATTTTCTTTCCAGCGCGTAATCGATTGACTATGCCGTCGGCATCCCTTTAAGTGTATTTCCAGAGTGGCGAAATCTCCCATTAGATGGAAATTCTTGAAAAGCTTAATAGAGTCCGCCAGAAATTCCGGTGTGCCGGCCATTTTCATGCTGTGTAATGCATTAGAAAAATAATCCCCGCCCCAAATTAAGTACTGTTACAAGTTTTCAGCTTCTTTGATAACGTATTTTTCGATACAGCTTTTCGAGGTAGTCAACTTTAACGGCCATCTAAACCCCAAAAATTAACTTTTTAAACTTTCAAAACTATGCAGTCCTACTAATCCGAGCATGCTCTCTCTGATGACATCGAAAAACCGGCGTCGAAAAAAGCTGTACCAAGCTAGTATCGCGGCCGTTCGGACGACTCGGAAACCGCCTTTTAAGCCTTTAGCTTCATCGTAAACACCATGTTGCGCCGCGTATAGTGTCAAAAATCATTCAAAAATTCACACAAATCTTTATCGTTCAATAGGTTGGCACTCGGTGTTGTGTAAGGTATCCACAGAAATAAGACGATTTTTTAATGCAAGACCAAGAATCTCATCAGATGGCTTTGGGGAGAGAGTGCGATGGAGAGAGCGAGCGAGAGAGAGCGAGAGATAGAAACAGATTAGCAACATGTCGATCAATTCGTTGAACTATTAAAGTGAAAGAAGGTGTGGTCAGTGTGTACCCGATGGTGGAATTTCAAGAAAGGCAGCTATGGATGGAAATAATGAGAGAAGGGTAGTGACTAAATATTCTAAGAGATCCGAGGGGATAGAATCTGTTTTTATGGGCAAAATCGCAAAATATGGTACGTGTCTTTACATGGGAATTGCGTGGTAGGAGCGGATGAGGTCTAAGAAATTGGCGAGGACGCTTTGGAATTGCTCCGGGTTGCCGAGATGGGCCGCATGGCCGGCCGCTTGAATTTGTTGTAACCTGAAAATACGGACTCTACAAACTCTTTAGGCTTCGCTTGGCTTGGCTTGGCTCAGGCTTAGGCTTGGCTTCGGCTCGGCTTAGGTTTAGGCTTAGGCTTAGCCTTGGGATAAAGTTCAGCGTTGACTTAACCTAGCCTTACTTGTTAGGCTTAGCTTGGGCTTTTTCTAGGGCTTGACTTGCGCTTTAGCTTTAGTTTAGGCTTGGGATCAAGTTCATGTTTTGTGGTTGGGGTTTTTTTGTTGGTGGGTTGGGGGGGGGGTGGGTTTGGGTGGCGTGGATTTAGCTTATGCTTGGCTGGCCGGGCTTTGCTTGGCCAGGCCTTGGCTTAGGCTTCATGTATCGATAATTCCTCATACCTAGAATTCGGCAAATTCTTCAAATTATTTGCCGACGACGGGCCCAACGATGTGTCGCGCTCGCCCCAGACGCAGAGCAACGGCGTGCGAAGCCTAAAATCGATTTTGTTGTTCAACCGAAGCTCAAGCAGCTACCTCTGAACATCGACCAGCTCCTGCGTGTTGGACAGCGCTACCCCAACGACACAGGCAAAGATATCCCTAAGAGATGTTTTACTATTACGCTCAATTTAGTCTAAGATACCTATTAAGGAGTGGCAAGATATATTGGGCGCTCATGCTCGCCGCCACCACCATCGGCTGTTTCAGGCCGAGCCCGTAGATGAACGACAAGAAGAAGGAGGGCTTCTCCTAGAAATGAGGATATATTTTAACGATATATTGCTTATTTTATTTTAAATGTTTATTTTAAATTAAATCGGAAATCGGCAATGTAAATACCTCAGCAGGAATTGCCGGTCCAACCGTCCTGCCGGACCCTGGCAAATCGAGGGCTATGCAGTGATACCCGTGCGCGGCCATGTTTGAGAGCAGCCCATTTTCCGTCCAGGTTGTCGAGGAGAAGCTTTGTCCTAAATCGAAAAATTCTATGGCTTTTAAAATAATAAAATAAATTAAAATTCGGAAAATTGTTTGGCTCAGCCGGCCGTGATTTTTTTTTGTTTCTATCCCCCATTGGGCTACAAGCGCAGGAAGGAACTAACTTTATTTTTCCGCCTATTATCGCCATCTGATAATTAAAAATTAATAGTGTCTTTTTATAGCGTTTTTAGCAGTTTTTAATTGCTGGAAAATTATTAAGAAATCTTAAAAAATTTAAAAATTGTGAAAGATGCTATTTTTTTGTTGATTTTTCAAACATTTTTCAATCCAGTACTGTATCCTACCAGATGGTTACAGTCGCTTCGCGACTGCAACCATCTGGCCTTCGGGCTACCCTACATGTCCCACTCCACCACATCCTTTCCCACCTCCATCAATACCCCCCATAGCCGAAATCCCGTTCAAAAACTACCTAAATACCTTCCTGATGGCTTCAGATACCCCCCATGGCTGAAATCCCCTTCAAAAACTACCTAAATACCTTCCTGATGGCTTCAGATACCCCCCATGACTGAAATCCCCTTCAAAAACTACCTAAATACCTTCCTGATGGCTTCAGATACCCCCCATGACTGAAACCCCTTCAAAAACTACCTAAATACCTTCCTGATGGCTTCAGATACCCCCCATGACTGAAATCCCCTTCAAAAACTACCTAAATACCTTCCTGATGGCTTTAGATCCCCACCATGGCTGAAATCCCCTTCAAAAACTACCTCAATACTTGCCCGATGGTTTAAGATACCTCCCCTAGCCGAAATCCCCTTAAAAAACAAAAATAACGACCGACCGGATGGAATGAGAGAAAAAAGAAATGAAATGATCCGGTGAAAATTTTCATCCACGAAACGCGCGCGCGACCTGGCTCACTATGTCCAAAATCACCCCAACCTCCGTCCCCCACCCCTTTACCAAGGAAAAAACTTTCAAAGTTAATTTTAAAAATATAAGCTAAAACTTTTTAATAATTTTTTTTATCAGTTTGGGGGTTTCTGACCACGCTCTATCCGAATCCGAAGAGAGCTAAGCTCTAGCTCCTTTCCCCTTCGAGTTGAATTCGGCTTCAGACACACACACACACACACAGACGTCTTTACTTTTTTTATTATAGTTGATACCAAAATGTTCGTCTTAATCTTGCGAGTGTTTTGGTATACTTTACACGCTTATATAGCATAAAGAAAAGCCGAGTTACAGTAGGTGGAAGGCTCGCATAGTTCAGCCAAAAATTAACCCACCATGAAGAAAGACGATTGTCGCCTTTGCGTAGTGGTTTTCCGGCGGTTTTGCCTCCCGATAAAATACATTATGGGCCTGAAAAATTGTTATACATGTTTTCTATAAGATCCACCTGCAATTCTAGTCGATTCTCGGTCGGTTGGACCTTTTCCGCCAATTTTTTGGTATTTTCGGGGACGGCCCGGCAGAGGTCGGCCCGCGAGAGGATTGAGGATAGTGTCGGGCCCTCGACCATCTAAAAAATCGGATTTTTTTTGAGATATCCTTTAAATACAGCCAAAAAAAGATACCGCACATTTTATGACAAGGAACTGCAGGCAAAATGCACCAAAATGGGGTATAAACGTGACTATACGCGCGACGGGACCATATGAATCACCGTCCGTGCGGAGGGGACGAAAATATAGTCGTCGGGTGGATGATTGTAGTGTTGATTTGGGGGGGAAAGGGATAGTTGGGTAGGGAGTCTGACTCATAAAGTGATCAGATTTGGAAGGAACTCCCGATTTTAAGGATTTGGGCCGCCGCTAAAGGACCTTGATCATACAGTCGTTAAATCGGTATTAAATATGTTACAAAAGACACGTTTTTGACGAAAACTAGTTGTTGAAAAATGTAAACTATTTTTGCAGTAAATTTTAGATCCTGGCCATACCTCGTATACTTTTAGCTCTTTAATAATGCGTTAAAATATTCTCTGGAATCCGGACACAGCAGGAAAGGCTTTCGACAACATGGTGGGGCATTGGGATGGCATCGTTTTGGGGGAGAGATGACCAGATCCGGACCCGGGACCAAAGTGGAGGGTCACGTCAAGTGGTTGCCGCCAAGACGACGCCACTGTACACTGGACGGTCAGCGGACGGGCAAAAGCTTCCGATGGAACAACTAGGGAACGCGCGAAAAATTATCCACGGTAAAAATTGGTAATTAATTTGGAAAAGCTTCTTTTTCGTCGGAAAATCTATATTCTTCATCTTCTACCAAAATTTATATGGTTTTTGCGTTTAGGAAAAGTAAAACACGGTAGCACTGCCTCTATTTCTATTAGAAAAATTGGGTACTAAAGAAGAAAACAAATAAAAAAAACATTTCAAAAATTTTTGAGCGATAACGGTTTTGCACAAAATTCCTCAAAAAAAGACCAATTTCGCCCAAAATAGGCCTCAGTGACGAAATTTACACGTTAACAGCCAAGAAGGTTGTATACCAATACCAAAAATTCAACGACTGGGTAAATAAAGCATAGACTAGCCGAGGTGTACTCAATCCCAGCATACGGACTCCGGCTAGCTAGAGCGGGCGGCAGCAACCGGCTATTAGCCTCAGCGCGTAAAATAATCCGTTTTCTCCTTGGGGCGGAAGATCCGAGCGAGGGGAAGAGAGAGAGAGGGGAGAGAGAGAGAGAGAGAGAGAGAGAGAGAGAGAGAGAGAGAGAGAGAGAGTGAATCTAAGGGCCGGACAACCCCTGGAGATCCGGACAAGCCATTGAGTATTTTTACTTCCCGTAAGCTTCTTCACATTTAGTTAGAAAAAAGACAGTTAGGTCCTATGAATGGCCCGTAAGTAGGGTGTGGAATGGAATGATCGGTAGTCGCCGCTCTCTCTCTCTCTCTCTCTCTCTCTCCCTCGCTAGATCCCATCCTCCTCCCGTTCGGTCCTCGTATGTTTGTGTATTTGGCCACCGATCCCCCTTCAGGGCACACACACAAACAAATCCCTCCCCCCGTCCCTTCATTCCGATCCACTCATTCCATCGGCTGATGGGGAACAGGTGTCTACAGGAAAATGCGCCAGCTAAAAATAGGGGCTTAAGACCGAGCTTCTTCAAATACGCTAGAACTTCGAAAAGCTGCGTTAAAAATTACAGCGTTCTAAGTTTTCAGAAAAAAAGAGGCGATAAAGATGCCATTATTATGTCTTCGTAGTGGAGGCCAGATTTGGCCATCTGCCAGCAAGCGACTTTACAAGCCGTGTCGTTCCGGCCCGTAGACGTTATCTTATCAAGCGGAAAGGCGGCACAAGAAAGTTTCAAACGCGCCCCTAAGAATACATCTATGGTTTTACAAGATTTAAAATAGGAAGATTTCATGGAAATTCGTGGACAAGGTAATTCCAACAATTTCAAAAACCAATTTGAACACTCGCGTCTGGATTTTTGTGATTACAAACCTTAGAAAATTGCTATTAAACTGTTAGCGTGGGGAGTAATTTATTTGGCTTGAAACCGACGATTTGAGGATATTTAGTGTATTGTTATAGTGGTTTTAGTACCTTTTGATTGCTAAAAAGTTATGAAAAAACTGAAATTATCGAAAATTCAAAAATGTTTACTCTTTTGACAATTTCGCAAAACGTTTTTACCAAAAAAATGTTAGAAAATTTTGATAATGATTTTATGAGCTTTGTTATCTGGAACTGTGGAAAATTCTACCAAAAAGCTGTATAATTTGTGTGTAGGGACCCAAAGGATTACTAGGAAAATGTGGACCCCCTGCTAACAGTCCAGTACCAAAAAACCTACATCGATCATCAAGAAACGTTCAACCCCGGAAAAATGTTGCGCAAAATTGCCCCCGATTTTGGGAGAAAGCCGGCCGGCCGAGGGGGGTGTTGTGGGGCGGGAATTTGAATGTGGAACGGGTGTGCCGTTTCGGGGTGGCTTCCCCCTTGCCTATTCAGACCAGCCGCTAGCCCCCGGTGCAGAGACTCACAGATTCACATGCAAATCGAATGACCCCCGTGGACACGAGGGCCGGTGAATCGCAGGTCGAATACGGGGCTACCATTTGAAGGGCTGCAGATATAGGTGTTGCTCGGAGATTCGGATGAAAATTGGGTTCTTTCGCATTATCGGGGGCTTATTTCTTAGCGTCCAATTTTTGAAATACAATCTCGGAAAAATACTTCTAAAAAGCGTCCTATTATTACTCAATGAACAAACTCTTTACAAATTTTATTCAAAAAATACAAAAATATCGATTTTCCGCCCAAAAATCGTCGATTTTGGACCAAATTTGAATTTAAATTTTTGGTCAATTTTTTTGATAGTTTTCTAGTTGAAATATGGTTATATTTTACTAAGAACATTAATAAAATACTTGCTATAAAACTACTAAACATTTCCAAGCATACATAACCCCCCGATAATGGGAAAGAACCGAAAAATGCGGCATTTAACGGGAGTGGAAAGAGAAAAAGCCAGCTGCACAATCAGTTAATTTGGTATCGACAGCTACGCGTGGCGACAAAATACGAGAAATTTTCCCTTCAAAAGCGTTTTCCAAGCGGATAACAAAGAGCAGTTTTGCAAGTGTTTTGGCGTGACGCGTAGCTGTAGGCACTTACCCACTGAAACGCCAATTTTAGGGTTTCCTAGTCGCTTTAAAATTACCCCATTACCTCGAAAAGAAGAGGCAACATCCAAAATTAGCAAA